CCACTGACCCTCTCCCCAGGGCCAGGAGCCGGGTCCAAGCCTGCTCCATTGCCCCTCGTGCCATGCCTGGCTTCCCTAACCCTCCCTGTGTGGCACAGGTGGGGCTGGATCAGCAGACAGTGACCCTGGTGTGCACCAACCGGAGGAAGCAGTTCCTGTTGGACACCGCCGACGTGGCTCTCACCGAGTAAGCGCGGGGAAGGAGCCCTGACCAGCCCCTCAGGCACGGGACACTGCAGTGACAGCCCTCCACGACAGAGTCCTGCCACAACTTGGGGTTTGGGGTTGGTTTGATGCCACTGGCTGAACCCTGCAGGCAGCTGGAATTGCCTCAGGCATGGATACACCCAAAGTATCTTCCCTGGATAAACACAGCAGTCACCCTGTCCCTCAGGCTGAGCCTAAGGGGGTCCCTTGTGTCACTTGGGATGAGCAGGGACGAGCTCTTGAGTTCCAAGGCACATCCCCAGGTCCGTGTGATCAGCTCAGGGATGCAGGACAGCTGATGGTCATACTGGGATCTGTCCTGGGATGTTTCCACCTCCCAGTCCCACCCACGGCCCCGAGATTAGCTCAGGTGGTTAGAGTAGGGTGCTCATGCCGAGGCTGCAGGGTCTATCCCAGCATGGGCTATTTGTGTAAGAGTTGGACTTGATCCTTTGGGTCCCTTCCAGCTCAGAATATTCTGGGGTTCTGTGAGCTCCTTTCTGGAGTTCAGGCTTTGCAAGCCCCTGGCACCTCTGGTCTGTGGGTTGATTTTGGGACCCGTTGGTCTGGAAGACCGGAGGCCCACAGTGAAGGGGAGGCACTTGGGCACCAGAGCGTGTGAGGGAGGTGAGGGGCTGTTTGGCCTGGCCTTGTCAGAGATCCCTGCCTCCCTCTCAGGTTCTTCCTGGTCTCCCTGAAGTCAGCCATGATCAAAGGGTGCCGGGAGCCCCCGTACCCCAGTATCCTCACGGATGCCACCATGGAGAAACTGGCACTGGCAAAGTTCGTGGCGCAGGAGTCCAAGTGTGAGGTGGGTTTGGATACCACCACCATCCCCGTGGGTGACGACGGCTCACCGGGCACTCCCCTGACTCCTCCTGCTCCTCACAGGCCTGCGACGTGGTGGTGCGATTCTACGGCCTCGTTCACTGGGAGGACCCCATGGACGAGGCGCTGGGACCTGCCAGCAACAGCTGCTCCTCCGGTGAAAACGCCGTCACCAAGGACGGCATCCTGCACTACAAGGCTGGGACCTCCTACCTGGGCAAGGAGCAGTGGAAGACCTGCTTCGTGGTGCTCAGGTGGGCGCTGGGCTGTGGGTCAGGGGCAGCTTCTCCAGCCCGTTGGAGAAGGTGCTGGGAGCACTTTGCTGCATGGCAGGTGGTGAGGACCCATCTTGTCACCTGGAGGGCCAAAGCCACCAGCTCTGGGTGCCCAGCAGCAGGAATGTGACCCCAGGGGGTTGTGTGGGTGAAGGGCAGGGGATACCAGAGCTGAGCTGACTCCAGTGAGCCTCTGTCTTATATTCCCAAATGGCAGCAACGGGATCCTGTACCAGTACCCGGATCGCACCGACGTCACCCCTCTGCTCTCCATCAACATGGGGTAAGTGGCTGGTGGGATGGGGCACCCAGACTCAGGTGCATTCCAGGCACCCAGACTGGGGATCTGGGGAGCAGGAGCTGCTTGGGATGTCTAGGGAGGTGTTCTGGGGCAGATCATGCCCTGCTCCAGTGCTGCAGGACTCCCTGCTTGCTCCTGGCTGGAGCCAGGTTTAGAGGGAGATGGCCTCATTTCCTCCTAGTTTTTGAACACTTGAGCCCACCCTTGGATGGGGAATTGGCCTCTGAAGGTGACACACCTTTCTGGGAGACCCACTGCGCACAACTCCAGCTCTCCCCCGGTACGCAGACAGGCCATCCTTGGAGCAATCCCAGGGGATGTCACAGATGGGACACGAGTGTTTGTGGGGAAGAGGGCTGAGGTGCTGCGCAGGGAGGGCAGGCAGAGGCTGTTTTCGGGCTGGTGCTGGCACATCCATCCCCCTGATCTCCATCCTCCCCTCTCTCCCAGCGGCGAGCAGTGCGGGGGATGCCGGCGCTCCAACACCACCGACCGGCCCCACTCCTTCCAGGTGATCCTGACGGACCGGCCCTCCCTGGAGCTGAGCGCCGACAACGAGGAGGACATGGCGGACTGGATGCAGTACTTCTGCCAGGCTGTCTCCAAAGGGGTGAGCTGGGGACGGGCCCCAGGCGTGGGTGCTTCGACCCCCTCCTTTGCCTGGAGCCCTTTGGAGCCGCCGAAGGGATCAGGGATACCTGGCAGGGATGGAACAGGCAGACTGATCCCGAGCCAGGAGGGCTTCCCCACGGGGCACCCCATGGAGATGGGGCTCCACCGTGCCAGACATTAACCCCCCTTTCCCCACCCCGTGCAGGTGATCCCCCAGGGTGTTGCCCCCACGCCTTGTGTTCCCTGCTGCCTCGTGCTGACGGATGAGAAGGCTTTCACGTGCCACGAGGACTGCCAGACCAGCTTCTTCCGCTCGCTGGGCACTGCCGAGCTCACGGACATCGCCGCCGTCTCCACGGAGGCTGGCAAGGAGTACTGTATCCTGGTGAGCCTGGGCTTGGGACCGGCTGGCACAGGGCTGGGCGAGGGTCCAGTGCTGACACCCGGCCTCTCTCTTGGTGTTTAGGAGTTTGCTCAGGACAGCAAGGAGTTCCTGCCCCCCTGGGTCCTCTATTTTAGTTGCACTACGGAGCTGGAGAGGTTCCTGTCGGCGCTGAACGCTGCGTGGAGGAACATCTACCAGGTGAGAGCGTGAGGATGCCTCACACCCTTCATCGGTGAGGGAGGGCAGAGGGGTGAATTTGTCCCTGCAGGGTGAACTCAGCTTTCCCACGAAGGGCAGGAGAGCCACAGAGCTTCTCCATTGTCCACATAAGCACAGGATGGGGGATTTGGAGCCTGGCAGGACAAGCCACGAGCATCCCACGCTGGCAGAGGGAGTGGGAGGGAGCTGGGGCAGCCCGTGTTTACGACATGGACAATCCGTTTCGTGTGGATTTGAGGTGCTTTTACAGCAAGAGGGACTGTTATCCGTTCCCCTCCTGACGCCCCACACGTGTGTTCCAGGTCGAGCTCCTGCACAAGGCCATCCTGGACGCCGCTGTCAAGAAGAAGTGCGAGGACGCCCAGAGCCTCATCGACAGCGCGTGGCAGCGCAGCGACAGCCTGTGCCGCGGCCGGGCCGAGCGGGACCCCTGGTGCTGACCCTGCCCGGGGACGACAGCTCACGGGGGCCCATCCTGGGGGGAAGCAGGGCCTGTGTCTGGCCACCTGGCACCCCAAACCCTCCTGCCACCGCTCAGTCCCCACCAGGGACGTGCCTGCAGCGTGGACCCCGCGCCCACTGCCGAGCCAAGGACATCCAGCACGTTTTGGGAGCGGCCGGACTCTTCTCCACCTGCGCCTTCCTCCTCGTCCAGCTGCCACAGGGCAAAGAATTTGCCTTTCATGGAATGATGTCCCACTAGTAGTGAGGGAGAGGGTGGGAGTGGGGTGGGCTGGGATGAGCATCCCATGTGGCGGGGAGCAGGACTGAGGACTTGTTCATTTTAGAACAGGGTCGGGGCGCGGAGGGGGCGAGACGGGAACACTCAGTCGCTACCGTGCATGTTTTGTTGCTCATACAATCACCGAGTACGGCACCGCTGCGCCGCCTCCTCCTCCTCCTGGAGAACCCACCCGGGGCCTCCAGACATCACAGGGACACTCCCAGCCTGTCCATGAGGTTTGAGGCTAAGGAAGAAGGAACGGGGCCAAAAATTTGGCCTTAAAACATCCCAGCGTGGTTTTAGGAGAGCTCAGAAGGTGGTTTGAGGTTTGGACGCTGGTCCTGTGTGCCGGGGAGGGGGTGAAGAGATGGAGTCCCATGTTCTTCAGGCGTCCCGAGGGGCGTTGTCACGTGGCTGCCACCGAACACATCCCCACCTCCTCGGTTCCCGCACCCGAGGCCGGCACGGACCCGTCGCCGCTTGCGCTCCACAGCGAGCACTTTGGGGCACAACCCCAGCTTTTAAATAATAAGAATAATTAATAATAATAATAATAATAATCCAGAGACCTTCTGTTGTAATATAAGTTCACGGGGCCTTTTTCTGGGAGGAAACGTACGTGACTGAATGTATATGTACATACATCTGCTTCCTTTCCCCCCTCCCCGAATAAATAGTCATTGGTAACTCAGCTTTGGCCCTGTGACACATTCCGGCCCCCGGGGCTGTTCCTCGTCCCGTTGTCACTCTGGAGCCTGTGGAATCACTCTGGGGCAGGACCTGGGGCTGCTGTTCCTCATCCTGTTGTCACTCTGGAGCCTGTGGAATCGCTCTGGAGCAGGACACTGAACCCCAGCGGTGTTAACCCTGCGCTGGGGCACGTTCTCTTTTTCAGTTGGCAATTATCCATCAGGACAGGGAGTCGGGGTGTTCTGTCCCCGTTTATCCCCAGATCCAGGAGATATTCCTAGTCTAGACAAGAAATAAACAGCCATGGGGCCAGCCCCCAGCATCACCCACCTTCCCTGTAAACCCTCCCTCTCCTTTTGGGATCAAAGAAGGGGTGTTGGGGGTATATCAAGGATGGGGGAGCCATTGGGATGGGGAGGAGTTTGGGTGTTACACCTCCCCACCCCCTCAGTAAACCACGGCAGTGCCTCGGCCATGGGGTAAAACAGGTCCCGGGCGGTCACTGTGCAGCCCTAAAAATAGGACTCCGCGGCGGGGGGGAGGGACACCGACAGCCCCACACACCCCCGCAGCTTTTGGCCCTGGGAAGCTCCAATTTCAAAGCATTTCGGCGACCCCGAGAGGGATCAGGGCCGGGAGAAGCGGGTGAGACCCCCGCGAGCCCCCGAACCGCGGCCGCGAGGGCGACGAACGTGCCGGTCCCCATCCCTGCCCCGGGCCGGGGAGGCTGCTGTGCCCCCCGGAGCCGCCCTGCCCCAGCTTCTCTTCCAGTTCTATCCCGCCTTTTTTTTTGTGTGTGTGTGTGTCTGTGCCTGTTTTTCCCTGTTTGCGCCGGGGCAGCCCCATCACGTGAGGCCGGGCCGGGCTGGACGCGGCTGCCGGGGCGCTTCGGTACCGGGGGACGGGGCCGGGGCCGGGACCCGACACGCACCCCCAGCCCCGACCTTTGCCCCACATCCCTTCCCCAAAGCGGGGGCTGGATTTGGGGAGGGGGGGGCCGGCGTTGGTTGGCGGGAGGCGGCGCTCGCTCCCCCCCGGCTCGGTGTGTTTTTCGCCGCGGTCGCTCGGGGAGGTGGAGCCGGGGCCGCCCCCGCGGGCAGGTGCCGGATGGCGACGGGAGCCCGCGCCCCCCGCCCCGGATCCCCCTCCCCGCAGGAACTCGCGACCCCCGCCAAGAGCAGCGCCCCGGCCAAGGGGGTGCCCCCGGCCACCGACCTGGTGCTGGGGGCCACCGCCGGCTGCCTGGCCTGCTTCCTCACCAACCCGCTGGAGGTGGTCAAGACGCGGCTGCAGCTGCAGGGCGAGCTGCAGGCCCCGGGCACGTACCCGCGGCCCTACCGGGGGGTGCTGCGGGCGGTGGGCGCCGTGTGCCGGGCGGACGGGCTGGGGGGGCTGCAGAAGGGCCTGGCGGCCGGGCTGCTCTACCAGGGGCTCATGAACGGCTTCCGCTTCTACTGCTATTCCCACGCCGAGGACGCCGGCTGGACGCGGTATCCCGGCGGCACCGTGGCCGCCGGGGCCGTGGCGGGGGCGGTGGGAGCCTTCGTGGGCAGCCCCGCGTACCTGGTGAGTGCTGCTCTGCCCCCACGGACCCCCCCGTGTGTGTAGAGGGGGGGTGTGTGTTTTGAGGAAACACACAAACACACCCCCTCCCCAAAAAGGTTTGGCATCCTGGAGCTCTCTGCATCCTATAAACTCCGTTTCTGGTGCATCCCTTCTCCCTCTGCTTTGCTTCATCCCCCCCGCTCCAAATGTAGGGCTGCTCTGTGCATGTTCTCCCCCCGCAGTCTCCCTCAGATCCTCCCCCCCGAAACCCACAGAACTGCTCGATAAGGAAAAGTTCCCAAAAGAAATTTAGGGTGTTTCCCCCCACCCTCCTTTTTAGGGGGTCTCCCCAGTTTTTGGGGTTGCAGAGTCCCAGCATTGGGTGTCTGCAGGGTCCCTTTGCCCTGGGGTGGGAGGCGTTCAAAGCCTGGAGGTGCCACTTGGCAACACATCTGTGCCCCCCACATCTGTCAGAGGAGCTGACCCCCCCAAAAAATGTGCTGAGAAGAGATGGGGGGACTGCAGCCGGTCCCAGTGGGGGCTGAAGGGGGTTTTATCACCTGGCATTGTCCCCCCCAAGGTCAAGACGCACCTCCAAGCCCAGACAGTGTCGGCCATGGCTGTGGGCTACCAGCACAACCACGAGGTGAGTGGGGACGGGGTCGGGCCGGGGGGCACCGAGGATATGGTGGCACCTTGTCTGTGCACGCTCCAGGCCCCAGCGGGGACGATGCTATTTTGGTCAGCAGGAATTTAAAGCTGTTGTTTGGCCGCTTGGCCTCGTAACGACGCTATAAATAACGGCGTGAGGACAGAGGGGGGTGTGACGGGCACGTGGGGCCGGGACACCGAATCCGGACCCCCTGCGGTGCCTTCAAAGCCCCGGTGGCTTCGTGTCCCCAACAACCATCGTGGCTTTGGACGCCGGGGTGGGAAGTTTTGCCAGGGTGGGAAATTCTAGCCGTGCGTGGGACGCACCATTCCCCGTCTCTCCCCGATTTCAGAACATCGCCGGCGCTTTCAGGACCATCTACCGGCAGCACGGGGTGGTGGGGCTGTGGCGGGGGGTGACGGGCGCCATCCCCCGCGTGACCGTGGGCTCGGCCGTGCAACTCGCCACCTTCGCCTCCGCCAAGGACTGGGTCTGCGAGCGCCAGGTGAGGGGACCGCGCCGGCCCCGCCGCCGCTCCCTCGGTGCTCGGGCCGGGCTGACACCGGCGCTCCCCGCAGTGGTTCAGGAAGGGCAGCTGGGCGGCCGTGCTGGCCGGGGGGATGGTGAGCAGCGTGGCCGTTGCCGTGGCGATGACGCCCTTCGACACGATCAGCACCCGCCTCTACAACCAGCCGGTGGACGCCGAGGGCACGGTAAGGCCGTTCCGGGTGGAGGGGACGCGCGGCTTTTCCCGGGATCGCGGCTGGCAGGAGTGCGCAGCCGGCTGGCTCCTCTCTCCCCAGGGCAAGCTCTACCGGGGCTTTTTGGATTGTATCCTGCAAATCTCCAACAAAGAGGGGCTGCTGGGCTTGTACAAGGGCATCGGCGCCGTCTACCTCCGCCTCGGCCCCCACACCGTCCTCAGCCTCTTCTTTTGGGACAAGCTCAGGGACCTGGTGCGGCACCAGCAGCTCTCGGGGCCGTAGGATGGGTTCCCACACCACCAAAGACATTAATAAAGGGGTTTTTCTATTTTTGGCGTCGTTTCGGGGTCTTTGGGGTGGTGCAGAAGGGGGGACGGGACCTGAAGCGCTGCGATGCCTCGGCGTGAACGGCAGTGCCGAGGTGGAGGTGGGCAAAGGTGCTGGTGGTCCCCCCGCCCCTCCACGATGATGGGATCATCTCTGCCTTCCTCTCCTCGCCCTAATTTTCACCTCCACGGGGCAGCTGGAGCTGTGGCCGGAGCAGCTGAGCTCCAGCTGCCCCGGTTTGCCCCAGCAATGATTTACTAGCCCGGGGGGGCCACTCCCAGCCTCCGCCCCGCGGACCTTGGAGCCGGGGCCTGGCCGTGCGTGCCGTGGCTCCTCTCCATCGAAAATGTTCTCCCTGGGGTCGTGGCTGCCGGCGTTCCCCGGGCTGGCCTGGGGCTGGGCACTGCTGGATGCATTCCTGCAAGGTGAGAACGCTGAGGGTGGCACGGGGGCAGCTCGGGGACGGGCCAGAGGACACGGGTGACCCGCTGCTGCCTTTCCCCGCAGGGCTGGTGGGTGCCTGTGCCGTCTCGGTGCTCTGCAGCCTCCTGAAGGTTTATCTCTACATCCAGTGCCTGAAGTAAGCGCCGCCCGGGGCGGGGGAGGTTGGTTTTGGGGATCAGATTCTGGGGTCTGCTGTCAGGGGGCTGGCTTTTGGCACCCAGGGGTGCAGGGGAGGGGCTGGGAAGCACAGTGGGGGCATCTCTAGGGCTGTCGCACCGTTTTGGGTGACATCCCACCTGGCATTCAGCGTTCCCCCCTCGCTGTCCCCAGCAACCCGGAGAGGCAGGCGGAGAAGGATGCGATCCGGGCGCAGCGGGCGGTGCTGGAGCCGCTGCACGTGCTGGTGCTGACGGGGGTGCTGGCCCTGGTGGGGTCCCGCGTGGCCGCGCTGGTGGTGCTGGAGTTCTCCCTGCGCGCCGTGTCCACCGTCCTGACCCTCGGCAAGGTGAGATGGGATGGGGGAAACCGGGGCACAGTGTGGAGGGAGCTGGGGAATTGTGGATCCCTGGTGGATTGTTCGACCCCCATGGGGGATGGAGGGACTGTGGTGTGGAGGGTCCACTTTGCACAGGAACCCGGAGGGGAGAAGAGCCCGATGGGCCCGGGCTGGGCCCGGCCCGGGGCGGGGGGACAGGAACAGGGCAGGGCCCGTCCCTGTGCTGGGCACGGCCCGGGCACCTCCAGCCCCGGGGGCACCGCTGGGACCCTCCGGACAAGGAGGGCACGGAGGGGCTGGAGCGTGTGCAGGGAAGGGAACGGAGCTGGGAAGGGGCT